AAAGCCACGAGGAGCTTTTCGTTGATGTTGTCCTCTCCAAAATACTCCATTCCGCGCTCGTAGACCTGAAATCGGAAGCTAACTAAAAACTCTTGACATAAAAGTGTGAAACTCTGAGGGTAACTGAGGCCACATGGCCAAAAACAACTATGTATAACTCAACAATCACTTCACTACAGTTGTAACAAAATATTGTCCGCCACTCAGCAGCATCTTAGGAAACCGTGACATATCTCATCAATATCCCTATAAATGAGAGTGTTCTTAGCCACTCGCTTGCGTTGCCCACATATAACCATGTTTCTCCTCGAATCGCGCATACTTGATCCAATTATTGACATTTGTTCCATGGACATGTAAGAACCGCTGGTATATGGCCCGTGCTCGGTCAACTTCTTTATATCTAAAATCATGTGATTTTGAGCAATGGAAGAGATGGGTTGTTCTTTGCAGACCAAGAAAACCAACCTTAATTCGAAGTTGATATATGTTTGCCATGCTTGCTCATCAGGTTCCCACTCCATCCATCGTTCATAAATCTTCAATACAAAAACGATTAAGTCACCAGTTCTGGCCACCCAGCATGCGCCACGACCACATGTGGACTCTTTATGAGAGCTAATCATCTATACAACATCTTCACGTTGAACTAATCCCTTTTTTCTTCCGGTCTGAGTCCGGTTCGCAATTTCTTGCTTTTAACTTGATTTACACCTTTCAGGCGCACAATATATCCCCAGGACATCATTTTGTACATGTAATGCATGTAGGGGCAGATAGTTCAGTGGTCAGTTTTAATTCTGTGATATTGCAATGGCTAATCGAAAGTGTGTACACACACCAAGCCTCTAATTTGGCAGTATAGTGGTAATAGGTGTTAAGAAATATAGTGGAAATAGCCTCTTATCTTTATTAATTGGCATGATTATCTGCCACCCGTCAGTAATGTCCCTACCACTGAATCCCTAGAAGTTGGCGGTGTAAAACAAACTTGTTCGCCAACTCAATACATTTGCCCATCTTTACCAGATTATCAAACCGTAATGAAAGAATGAAAGGTGAATACTGAATAGAACAACACATACTGAAGAAAACCAACCTGTCTTGCACCCGGGACGTTCTCAATCACTTCTTCCATGTAGGAGTATTTCAGCCAAAATTGCATACATCGCGGAAGTATGGTAACAGCACGATCGAAGATATTCCGCGCATGATTGATCTGCTTACTTCTGAAAGTGTTAAGTAAAGGTGAAAGATGGTTTTGTAAGAAGGTAAGTTGAAAAGAATCATTACAAATGGTAAAATAGGGACGAAGAACGTTTACTTTTCAAAACATGCAACCAAGTAGTAATAGTAGTAGTACCGAGTGAGCTACTGCTATCTCTCACAAAACTGAGAACTATACTGAAACAATAGAACAACGCTCAAGCTTGTCTTGTTGAAATAATCAACGACTCCAGTCCAGCAGCCTTAACCTCTGCGGACACTGCGGTTTTCAGTGCGGGCGGGAGCTGGGTTGGGCGCGACTCCAGCCTTATCTCCACCAATTGTGGTCGCTTGCCAGCTCCTTATTCGCTGCAGAAAAGGCTTACACCGTGAAAAACTCATCGCCCCTGACACCCCCAACGGACAAGACTGATGCTGACGGCAGCTCAAAATGTATGATAGCTCCATTACCACTGAACAGCTGAATGCTGACCGGCAAATTGGAATTCAACCGCTCTCTTTACTCAATATGTTGAAAAAAATGAATAGCACAAACCTCATTTCCATTTCAGCGTACTGTAACCAAATGGTGATCGAACGATGGTCAACATCGAGAGCCCGTTCGAATACCGACCGTGAACGCTGAATTTCACCGATGGACTCTTCCCATTTCCCGTATTTGATCCAGTTTGCGATCTGCATTCTATAAACATATAAATCTGGAAGGAAAGCAAATCGCTACTTTTGCAAGCTCCACGCTGTTCTCATTTCGAAATTAGTAAAATAATTGCAGCACTAAACGCACCTATTTTTACGAATTCCATCCTCAAACTCCTTCCTCTTCTTTCGTTGAAACTCAGCTAACTCGTCAGGATCAGTGATTTTTGTCTTAGGAGGCAAAGGAATCAACTCCAATTCACGCTCTTTGGCTTCGCGAAGAAGTTGTTCAGCGGTGATTTGAAGCTGTGCTGGGGCCTAAAGAAAATATATACATAGTATATCAAGAGTACGTCTTTTGACAACATGGTTGTAGGGAGCAGTGAAAATAAGGCACACTTTGTGAGTACTGAGCAAAACACGCTATTGTTGATGTAAAGGAAAGCAAAAACAGAAAGCAACAAGAATTGAAAGAAAAAGACAGAAGTGTTCGGTTTTTTGCTCTAAGCTAGCAAGAAAGAGATTATTCCTAAAAATACCTTATTCTTGACTTTCGCAGCTTTCTTTGGCAAGCGTAAAGGCTTGTTGCCCGACACCGGCTCCTCATCGTCACTCATTTTCGCCTCGGTGATTCAGGCAGTACCTGGAATAGAGAACAGACTCAAGTCAACCCTGTACACACGTGCAAGTTCTAGAATTTATAAGATCTTTCTTCTCAGTACAGCGTAGTACAGGGAGTTCTAGCAAAGATACTATGGTACTAGAAAAGATTAAACTCAGCTTGGTCAATTCATCGCGAAGAAAATTTGACCCTAACGAAACAATACCAACAACACATAACAACGAAACAAAATTAAGATGATAAAGCTTCTACGAAAACTGTGGAATCACCACGAAATGAAATGTAAGGGCCACATTTAAATGCTATGAATCCACATCTGGGTTACTCGATCTTTATGAAATCCACGCGAAATGAGATATAAAACAACACAAATGCAAAGGAAACTTGAACGCCAACGCTAGTTGCATTTAAAAGCAAACGCAGACGAAAACCATGAAGTGGTGTACCTGCACACATTTCACTGCCTTACAGTACCCCGCACCCGTCGTCGTGCATGCTCTTTGCATTTTCAGCTAGTCAGGAAACATGGACTAGTCAGGAAAAGCGTAGCAGCGTGGAGCAGGGTTTAATCATGATCAACTGGTCTTAACTGTGCCTTCAACCATTGCGGGCCCTGTGGAAGAGCTGGGTGTTGTCTACGAGTTCGGCCTGCGTAATGTACTGTTCATCAACCCTTTGACAACATATCGTCTCCTAGGCTTTGAGACAAGAAATATCCTGGTGCAGTATGTCTAACAGCAAGGTATA